CTAACACAAATAATTAGCGAAATTGATACTCATTCACTAGACGAAAAAGTAAAAAGGCACCGGTTCAAACCCCCCTTTGGCACCGGTTTTGAACCGTTTGGGATTTGAGGGATGCCAATTCCATGAAAATTTGGCACCGGTTCAAAACCAGTGCCAACTAAAGCATTTAGCAAAGGTTAACCGGTGCTAACTACTTGATTTGGCACCGGTTAATCGGTGCTAAAAGTGAGTCCTGCAATATTTTTTTTTTGTTTTAGCTAGAAATGGCACCGGTTGGTTAACCGGTGCCAATTACACCTCCAAAAAAAAAAAAAAAAAGTTGCGTCTTTTTCCCTTAAATCCACCTTCAAAATACCAAAAATCCCTTAAAAAAAAAAAACCACTAAATCATATCATACATTAATCTCACACACACATATATATATATACATATATATATATATATATATATATATATATATATATATATATATATATATATATATATATTCAACTAATTAATTGTTATTTTACAATTTAAAAAAAAAATACAAATCACGCTAACAATGTACAACAAAATTTGTTAATCGAATCTTAAATCCGTAGCTTCTTCTATGTGGAATCCTTGTAATTTTTTTTTTTTTGAAGTAATAATACCACCTGCATCATAAAACACCAAAATTAATAAAACTAAAAACCAGGGAAGAGTTGATAAAGAAGAAGACATCCAAAAAAAAAAAAAAACCCCAGAACTTGGTAATCAATATGATCACGCAAAACAAAATGCATCAATCATTAGACCTTTACCAACCTAACAAAAATTTTGGTGGGTACAAGTACAACAACAAATCGATACAATCAGCTAGCAAAACCTCATGAAAAACACCAAAACAAAACAATCAACAACAACATAAAACCGTAATTACTGAAATTAATCCAGCATCATAAGAAACAACAAGAAACTCAAATCATTTCAAATTTGCAATCAAATTCTAACAATCAAACCCTCATAAAAAAACACAAATCCCAGAAAAAACAAATCAAATTCCTGAAATAAACCCCAAAAATGAAAATGAAAGAGGAGAGAGAAAGTACCAAACAATGCCATAAGCATCGCAATCGGCAGGTTGAATAGGAGGAGCATACTTAGAAGCGACCTCGAAAAGGCTACATAAAAACCCGAAAAAAAAACCCGAAAAAAAACCCATAAACCCAGAAATTTGGAACCCAGAAAACCCAAAAAAAACCTTAAAAAGTCAAACCAGACCCAAAAAACCTAGAAACTTTGAACAAAAAAAACACATTAATTCTGATTTTCTAATAATTGACGAAGAGAACTTGAATAATTAACAGAAAAAACCCATAATCAAGGCAATTTAACATAAATAATTGAACCAAAACGCAAAACTAAAGAAACCAGAAACCCTAACCTCAAAATTTTGATTTTCTAATAATTAACAGAGAGAAGAACGGCGGCTGGTGATTGCATGAACGGCGGCGGCTGGTGATTGCATGAACGGCGGCGGAGATGGTTTCGAACGTCGACTAAGGTTTTGAAAATAAGGAAAAAATGAGGAATAAGAAGATGAGAGAACAGATGAGGAAGAAGATGAGAAATCTGAGAACGAGAGATTAGAGAGATCTGGGGATTCTGGAGATAAGGGAGATGAGAGAGAACGAGCTAGATCAGAAAATAAGGAGGGTTGATGAGAGAGAATGAATATGAGAGAGAGGGAGGGGCTGATGAGGGAATATAAGAAGCCCGATTTTTTTTTTTATTAAATTTTTGTAATTGGCACCGGTTTTGCTTGAACCGGTGCGAAATCCCACCGGTTTTCTTTTTTTCTTTTTAATGCCAAAAGTCTGTATTCTCAATCCCGCCCAATTCTTTCCCACCGGTTTTCAAAAACCAGTGCCAAAAGTGCGGTGCCTATTTCTTTTTTTCTACTAGTGATTGATTAAAAAACTTCATTGATTAAAAAACATTACCTCAGAAGTTGTTTCAATGGAGGAGAAAGCTCAGAACTGCTACAATATAACGCAAAGCTAAATAACCCAAAAACCCTAACCTCGAATTTCTGATTTGGTTCGAAATTGATTCGAATTTGTTGTTGTTGAAGACACACGCACATGATTGATTCAAAATAGACGCACTCAGAAACCCTAACCTCCAATATTGTAGAAAGAGAGAAGGAGAAGGAGATCGAAAGAGAGAAGAAAGGAAAGGGAAAGTGGCGGTTATGGAGAAGGAGATCGAAAGAGAGAGAAGGAGTGTTAGGAAAGTGCTGAGTGAAAGCTCAGAAGCCCCTTTAATGGAGAAATTCAAGTACGCTTTAATGGAGGAGAGAGAGAGACAGATCAGATGAGAAGAGGAAAGATCGAGGAAATGAAAGCAAGAGAAAGAAAGAGTATGGGAAATGAAACGAAAACGAAGAAGACCCGGTTTTTTTTTTTCCAAAAATGGCACCGGTTAAACCGGTGTTAATTAACATAGTTGGCACCGGTTTAAGGCGAACCGGTGCCAACTTTATGCCATACTTTTTTTTTTTTTTTAAGTTGGCACCGGTTTGAACCGGTGCTAATTAAATGATTGGCACCGATTTTGGTTGGAACCGGTGCCAACACTGAATTTTTAAATCCCGCCCATTTCTTTTGGCACGGTTTTTAAGAACCGGTGCTAAAGGGGGGGTGCCTATTTCATTTTTTCTACTAGTGGATACGGACTTTTGGCTGCATAGATGGGAAACAGATCAGCCTCTAATCAAGCTTACTACGATCAATCCTCCTGATTATTTGCTTGATGCAAAGGTGAAAGATTTCTGGGATGAGAATTTAGGCTAGCAATTCGATTAATTTGTTAATTTCCTTCCAAGTGAGATTTTGCAACAAATCCAATCACATGACCTGATTGAGAATGATGAGGCAATTGATAGTATTTTCTGGAAAGGCTCGCCTTCTGGCGGATTCACTATTAAATTGGCTTTACAAATTGTTCGAACCACGGATAATGAGGAATAGGATTCGAGTACTAAATGGAGTTACATTTGGAAATTACAAGTTCCTCTACGCATACGCTTCTTTCTCTGGCTGGCTCAACATGGCAAATTGATGACTAATGCTATGCGTTTCTTGCGCAATTTGACTGGAGATCCCAGGTGTTTCATGTGTGGCTTTGTGGAAGAGAATGTTAGCCACATATTGCGTGACTGTCCAGCTAAAGTGGTATGGGCCAAGTTTGGAGTGATCTTTGATCTTCAGTGGCGGGGTAGCTCAACAGCGCAGTGGCTTGAGGATAATCTAACCGCAAAGAGGGCTGGTGTTAATGAAGAGTGGCCTTAGATTTTTGCCGTCACCTATTGGTGGTTGTGGAGGCGGTGCAACGAGCGTACCTTCTCGAGAGAGGTGGATATCCTCTTGATCAAAGTACCTTCATAATGACAAGAGTGAGTGATATCCGCAGGGCATATGAAAGCAATCTTTTGGGTAATGTTCAAGGCAGAAGAAAGTACAGAGAAGCGTTGATTTGTTGGGAATGTCCAAGAGAGGGTTGGGTTTGCTTGAACACAGATGGGGCCTCGAAAGGCAACCCGGGGCCGGCTGGAGCAGGGGGGTTATTCGAGGCCATAGGGTGAACTCTATGAGATGTTTGCAATAAACTATGGTGTGCGTTCGAGTGCAAAAGCTGAACTTCTAGGGGTTATGCACGGCCTGGCAGTAGCTTGGAATAGTGGGCATCGCCGAGTTCAAGTAACGGTTGATTATGAGACTATTGTTCGTATGTTGGTGGATCCAACTCCTCCAACCTCTCCCTTTATTCATTTGATTTGAAAGTGTAGAGCTCTTATCATGAGATGTGATTGGGAAATTATAATTGGACATTGCTACAAAGAAGCTAATTAAGTGGCAGATAAATTGGCTAACTTTGGCATAGTGTCTAATTAGAAGATTTTTATCTTTGAGGCGATCCCGGAGGACCCTTGTGTCGTTTTATTGGAGGATTTGGGGGGAGCAACGAAGCCGAGGATGGTGTCTGATGAAGAACCTAGCTATTTAGGCTTCGTAGATCATTAGCTATAGTTTCTTTATTTTTTGCGTTGTTTGTTTTCCTTTGTTTTTCTTTCTAGTTTGTTCTAGTTTCTTTTTCTTAATGGGGCTTGCCCCTCGTGCTCACCAAAAAAAAAGTGTTACACATCCTTTTTTGGCAAAAAGCTATATTATAATATTATATCTCTCTCCTTTTATTGTTTCCACCCAAACCCGCTACTCCTGTTTTTTTAATTTCTCTCCTCTCAAATTCATTACTTTTTCAATAAATTATTAACCTCACTATCTTTTTTTTTATATATAATTTTTAATACTCCAACTACCCCATTTACCTCTTATTTTATTTAAGTCAATTAAATTGCCTAAAACTTTATGCCAGTTAAAATATAACACTTATTAAAATACGATGGGAATAACACGGGGGTATAAAGGTTAGCAAGACAGAAGCAAGTAGGCAACCCTTTTTTATACCTTAACAAAAGAAGAGAGACAGAAGAGACAGGTGAGGCACATGACATGTGAGAACTTGGAATTCCAAGCTCCTGTTTATTTCAGTGACTCTATTCCTTTGAGTTGACACCCACGCTTACCCCACCACTTAGGTGCCCCTTATCTCCGGCACAGCCAAACTCCCATCGTAGCTTCGTCAACTTACACATGAATTTTTTGCAATTTTTTTTCCTAATCAATCAAATTTAGATCGAATTGATATGTCATTCGATGGACTGAAATCTACCACGACCAAGTATATGTGTTACTAGCTAGTAACCTTCTTGTTACCTTAAATACCCATGTCGGACGTATAAACACATTAGTACACTACTCGAGTTTTACTAAAATAAAAATTAATACAACAATAAATTACATACATTCATCACATAGTTTTATTTATTACTGTATGAGATGAAAGTAAACTTTGTTTCTTACACTACATTGATGGTACAATTTGTAAATATAGAACATATGATACCATATATCATACACATTAATTAAATAGATAATACTCCTAGTGTAAAAGTAGTACAGTAGTAAAAACAAGAGGATTCTGATAGCCTAGCTAGCTCTCATTAATTACACTGCTGATTTTGTTTCATCATCAAATTTTGCGTACACAGTACCTACAATAAATTCAACCTTCTTTCCTTACTAATTAATTGTACTACTCCGTATCATATCAATCCTAAGGCATGTACAACTTATTCCCACACTTACAACGCCAAGCTTCGGGGTAGTACTCCAATGGCACGCTCACTCCGGGTTGAATCGGAACGTGCACTGCCTTACATGGCTCACAACTCCCGCACTTCGATCGACAGCTCGGCGGCCACGATCCTGGCCCTATTAGCTTCCTCCGCTCCAACTCTGTCTCCGCGGGTGCAGTTATGAAGAGGAATGATACAGCTACAAGAAGAGCTAATAAGGCTGCGGCGGCCAGTGTCCGCCGCAGCATTATTGATGAGGCTCGGGTTATGTTGGTAGAGGGAACTGCGAGCTACAGATAGTCCGTCCCCCTAAATTAAAAATGCTAGATCTGCCACTAACTATAATAGATTGAATATATATATAGGTTCATAAGGTGAGTTTTTGTTGTTTTGGGTGTTTAACTTGGTAAGAGGGTGGGAAGAAAAGAGATGACAAGGAAAGAGTGAGTGAATGACTGAGTGGGGGAAGAAATATTTGGAGATTTGGTGGGAGTGGTATTATTGCGATTTGGATTGTGAGTCCAAGTCAAAGACTACGACAGAAGCTTTTAGAGAAAGAGGACCCTGGTTATTGTTTTTTTCTTCTACTACTAGTAATTATTTGTAAAATATTTTTGGGGAATAAATAAAAGTATAAAGAGTTGGGACCCATTGTTTGATTATATTGAATGCAATACAGTGTTGAATTTTTGAAGTTTATTACGGGAATGACATGCTTTTTATGTTTGAGAAATGATTGGCACTCGTATGAATCAAATGATGTCCTCATGTTTTACTTCCCCATCCTTGTAAAGTAGAGAGGTATTAGTCATAAAATTGTATTTGTGTTTAGATGCTACACACACATGCCTTAAGGGAAACGATTAATGTAAACAAAAAAATCTAGATAAATCTTACTAGATCTTATATGACGAGTAATAAGTTTATTCACCATATACCCATGTAACTTTTCAAATTCACCGTATACCCCCCAAGTTTAACAACAATGTCCCAGATGCCCAAATGACTAACGGGCGCAACCTCCGTTAGTTATTATGCGTTAATTGTGACACGTGACATCCTCTGCTTGGTTGTGTTTTAAAATCTATTTAAATAATTATTAAAAAAAAAAAACCAGCCAAACCCCAACCACCCTCCCCACTAAAGATGGCATTAGGTCAGGCCGGGCTGAAGTCCAGCACGAAATGACATGATACGGGCACGAAAAAAGCGCGGCATGGTACGATACTGTGCGTGTGGGCCGTGGACCGCCTTTATTTGGGATAAGCACGATAAGGCACGACAAAGCATGCTAAAATCAATGCAATTTTGCTTAGGCACGTAAGCCCGATACGATGACACGTGTGCCTGGGCCGTGCACAGGCCAACCTTTTGAAAACTTTGGCCCAGCCTGGTATGGCACAAAACTCATGGGCCGAACCATGGGCGGGCCTAACTAACTCCAAAGCACGTGGGCCTGGCACGAGGCACGACCCGTTACGACCACAACCATCTTTACTCCCCACCCCACCACCACCAGCCATCCCTTCCCCCTGCGGGCGACCAAACCCATTCTCCTCGCGCCCGCGCCGGCGAACCCACCCCTTCCCTTGCCCCGTACCCGCAGTCCTTGACACCACCGGTCTCATAAACCCGGAAAATCGAAACCCTAAAACCCCATATTTAAACCATAGAGTTTGATTTTGGGGTTTTAGGGTTTCGAGGTGGTGGTTTAGGGGGTAGAGGTGATCAAAATTTTGGGCCGGATCGGGCCTTAACATAGTATCTCGTGCCCAAACCCGCAAAAAGTAGCGGGCTTTTCAGGCCGGGTTTGGGTTTTAACTAAAAATGCGTTTTTAAGCTTGCCCAAACCCGCCCTATTTTCGGGCTAGATCGGGTCGGGTTAGCGGGCCGAGCCAATGTTGATCACCTCTATTAGGGGGGAAAGTGGCCTGGGGAAGATGGTGGGGGGCGAATTGGGTTCGCCTGTGCGGGGGAAGGGGGTTTGGAGCGCCGGCGGTGGGGAGGGAGGGAGGGGTTTTAGGTTGCGGGGATGGTGGTTTGGGGGAAGGGATGTACGATTTCAGGGGGGTTGGGATCGAGCTGGCGCCGGCGCAGGGGTTTAGGGGTTGTGCCGGTGCCGACGTGGAGGGTTCAGGGGAGGCGGCGGTGGGGCAGGGAGGGTGGTTGAGCAAGGATTGGTTTTTTCTTTTTCACTAATTATTAAATAATTATTTTAAAAAATAAATAATTTAAAATCAACCAATCATATGCTACCACGTGGTACAATTAACCCTTAATAACTAACGGAGTTGACATCCTTTAGTCATTTGGGCATTTGGAACATTGTTGTTAAACTTGGGGGTATATTGTGAATTTGAAAAGTTTCATGGGATATAATGAATCAGCGATTACACAGATGTATTTGGTGAAAAACTATAAAATTATTGTTGAAATATAAACTAGTGTTTCTCATATAATCTGTCAAAATTTCAAATGGGCTAAACATTAATGAGTGGAGAGTGTGATGCGGGAGCATCCTTGAAACTTAACAATTGTATGACTATATGACATGATTGGTGCATTTATGGCTCCAAACGGCTATTTGGATCCTATTTTGTGACGTGAATTAGGTGAATAATGATTGATGATCTTCAATCTTCATGTCCAAGAACTTTATTACTCCCTCCATTTTTTTTTTATTTACACTTGCTATTTTCGACCGTTTTTTTTTAAAGACACTTTCTATTTTAGAAACCTTTACAATTTAATAATATATCTTCGCACACTTACGATCCCCACTCACTCTGACTTTATACTCCTCTAATGATCCCCACTCCCTCTCACATCACTTTACTTTTCAATAAAATAATAACCCTACTATCTTTTCTTACAATTTTTTATTACCTTATTTTCCCCACTAACATCTTAATATATTAAATCTCCTAAAATTCTGCACAATCCCAAATATAGCTTTAAAAAAAATGGAGGGAGTTTATCGATAGACTATATCCTCAATTTGAGCGAGAAATGAAGAACATATGAACATTTGAACATTTGAAGTTAAGTTGTCCACCCTACTCCAATAGTGGAGCGGCGTCCGCTCCACCTTGAAATGGTGGATTTTGGCAGAAGGTTAGAGCGTCTGCTCTCTCCATTGAACCTTTCTCTAGACCTTCGAAACTAGTGGCATATCCAGTGTGTTCGAAATTGTAAGAAAAAGGAAATGAAAATTATTAATTAACGATTCAATATATAAGTTCAAATTTCAGTTTACAAATAAATTGCACTTAAAAAATAAAAATAAAAAACTACGGGCTTGTTTGGCATTGTTTTTGTTTTCAGTTTTCCGTTTTTTTTGAAAATAAAAAACCAAAAACAGGAAACAAGAAAAAGATGTTTCCACTTTTCTGTTGTCAGTGTTCAAAATTATCATGATTTAATAAGTTTGTCTAATTTTTGTTTCATTTTATGAAATATATCATATGGGTTGAAAAACAGAAAACCACAACGATGCCAAACGCACCCTACAATAGCATTTTTCGAGTTTTCATACTTGAAGATGTGTCAATATATTATCCCTAAATCAGGTGAAGAACAAGCAGAGGAGTTTTGTGACTTCTCCGCACATTTTAAAAAACTCTAAACACGTGTTACAAACTGAAAACTCACCTCCCCTTCCTAAAAAAAATAAAAATAAAAAAGGAAAAAAAAAAAACCCTGAAAACCCCCCAAACTACATTAACATCAAGAAAAATCGGCTAACTCTTTTCCCAAAATATTGATTTTTTATTTATAGTTTTTTGTGCATAATCGTTGAAGAATGTAATGAATGGGCTACTGTATTTCTTATAGGCCTAAAGTACGGATGGACTCCAAATTTAATTAATGATGATCTATGAAGAATGTACCTTCCAACATGAAAGGAGAGATATCAAGCTAGCTTATGCCTTACGCTATTTAATTCTTCTAAACTAGACTATGCCACTAGCCATTGCTAATGCATGAAACAAATCCAATTTGTTTGGATGACATTATTAATAGCGAAAGAGAGTTATGTAATGTAGTTTTGATTCCTCTTCATATCAATTTGGTTATAAATTATGTATACTAAGTAACTTTTTTTAGAAGTAATCTTCTATGTCTTATTTGTTTTAAAGATTGTAAGAACTGTATGTATAGAGTTGTTTGCTATTATAAGGTTGTAGCTTAGTTCAGTAGACATCCCGCGAAGTGTTTCATGCGACTATTCTAGCACGTATTAATTTGCTTGTCAATCGTAGGAAGTTGAAATTGACATATAATATAGGGACAAGGGATAAAGTAGGGAGCTGCCAACAAGTTTTTACAGAACTTGTAAACCGTTCATGAATTTATCAAAAGTAACAAAGAAAATCATGAGTTTTACCAACCAAGGTTATAACCCATTCGCAATCCATGAAATTGCTAACTTCATTGGTCAACGAACCACAAATGGAGGATTGGTGATGATGGTCAAAATTGAGTCAAAGAAACAAATTTGCCCGTATTGGTCTCTATTCAATTTTTATCATGACAAGTAGTGATTTGCAATTTAATAGACATATAATCAAAATTCATTTCGCTCTAAACTAATATTACTAAGTTGGTTTAATATTAATGCACATACAATTCGAAATATTTGTGATCACTTATTAAATCCACAGGATTAAAAGGGAACCTAAATCGGTTGTCCATATTATCTTATTAGATGTGATATTCAATTACATTTTGTTTTTTGACGAGAACGTGATTTTCAATTACATGTTTTTGTTTAAACATGCAAAAGGTTGACAAAAAATAAATAAAATAATACGACATAAATTTTGGAAGCAACATAAAAATTATTCTAACCATGATACTAGCAGAATATAAAATAAAACAAACGATAAAAATAAATTAGTTTCTTACGTTGTACATGCTCCTTTTATTTTGCTCATCTTGAAAATGATGTGACATGACAATTTAGCATTTTCACACGTTATTAAAACATCTATAACTTTTGTTACGCAATTTGGAATAAGGCATATAATATATCATTGGAAAGATGTAAAAGTATCATTTCCAACCCAATTGACTTAGGTCAAAATACTTTGTCATTGGTTGATTCTAGGATACCATAAGCTAAGGTAGCCGGGTTTAAGAACTCTAGGGTCCATGAAACCTTAGTTCATTGAATGTGGTAAGATGGTGTTGCTCTTTATAGTGGATTTGAAGCCCTTGAGTTGGTATTTGTTAAACACATCATATCCCGTGCGAGGTTAATTTGTTCAAGCCTTCATTATATTTGTTGAGCGGCACCTTTAAATCCCTAGCTATACAAGTCTTGATCTTTGGTTTGACTTCTAGCTTCCCAAGACCGTGACCGAGCCACTTTAGGGGAAGAAAAAGGCATCAAGATATGGCCGTTTGAGTGCAAGGGTGTCAATTTTGGACCAAACTTAGTATTTGACTCATATCTCATTCGTTTTGAATCGGAATTGGGCTTATGATATATCGTTGGAAAGTTTATTTCAACGCCTATATAACCAAAATAATATTTAAATCAAAGTTATGATCCACATAATCAAATTCACTCGGTCTTGGACTATGGTCACTTAAAGAGGAAATTAGGCTATAGTTTGTGGATTTTGGGCTATGAAAAAGGTTTGAATGGATGCTAGGGCTACGAATGGATAGGATTAGGTAAGTAAAATTAAAATGGGTAGTGTATCAAGAAATTCTCAAATGTAATACGAAACCCGACCACATGGCGGTGAAAAATCACTCATCATCGGGTTTAAGCTGGGGAGACACAATTAACTGTTTTTAAGGTCATATTTCGAACACCAACTTTTCACTCCTCCCTCCTCTTTCACTTATATACCAGATATAACTTGCAATCAATATGGTTCTATTAGCCCTAAACATGCCCAAAAGTTTTCAATTAGGTAAAATAATTTCTAAAAGATTTTAAAAATAAGTTCTAATACATAGTAATCACGCTTAATAAGCTCCAAAAAAACATCTTAAAAAAAGTAATCCAATAAAACTATATAAGAAAATGAAACTTAATAAACTATAATCAAGTCCAACGGAATCCCTTACACTCAATTCTATGTAACTTGTAAACAAAATCCACCATATATAGATAAAAGAAACAAATGAAGTAATAAGTAAAAAAATACCTTTCTCCTCAAATAATAGTACTAGGTTTAGGTAAACTTATTGCCTAGGTTTTATAGACATAAGGTCCGCCATATTAAATAGATTTCTCAACAAATAAATTTCAGACATAATATTGTACACTTTTTTGTTGTTATATTTTTGGCCAGGAGAATGGGAGAAAGTTCATATGCATACCAAATAAAAGTAGGTTGGTCCGTTGGTTCAAGTATCAAAGTTTTTTTAAAAAAAATAAAAAAAAAAAAAAAAAAAAAAACGAAAAAAAAAAAAAAGAAAAAGAGGAAAGTGGTAAAAATGGTAATATTGCCGTAAGTTGGAGGGTTGATGAGGTAGACAGCAGATAAAATAAATGGATGGCAGATTGACAGCACCCGTGTGGTAACGTACGTGTGCTACTGTTGAGTATGGGCAGTCTCGTGTTGTCTCGTGTTTGGGGGCCAACTGTCCAGCCAGCTAGCTAGAGAGGGAGAAAGAAAAAATAAAGGAAAAAACTATAAATTGGTTTATTTATTGTGTTAAGGAGTACGGAATAATTTTTTCGTTGATTCACATGTCAACTGTTTAGGAAAAAGAAATTGTTGAAGCAAAAGCTAGGCTTGAAAGTTGTTGCACAATGCCCATGAAAAGAACGTGAATATGTGAGTAGATTGTTCAGAGTGCGTTTTAGACCGAACCAAACTGTAATTTTGCGGTTTGGTACAGTTTGCGGTTTGAAAATTACGGTGCGATTTACGAAAATAACTAAACAGTGGTTTGTGGTTTGGTGTTGTTTCCAAAATAATTTAGGTCAAATCACACTTTGATACGGTTTACGATTTAAATAGACTGTTAAACAGCAAACTGTTAAACCATTTTTATACTATTTTTACTACCAAAAAAAAAAAAAAAAGAGTTTAATATTTGAAGAAGAAGAACAACAACAACAACTTTAGAAGAAATTGCGCACCTAGATGGCCAAGACTAATGAAAAGGCCAAATTAAAGGAACTAGAGGCTGAGGTATGGTTTGATTATAATCAATTAAAACATTTCTCTAAAGAAAACTTGATTCACACTATAATGGATATTCAAGGTGAATAAATTGATTTGCATGTGGCTAAAGCGCAAAGTGATAAAGCCCTTAAAACTCATATAGAACATAGTGAATTTGTAGATAACATGAGATTGATATTCAACATAGATTCTTTAACTTGTGTGATAATAATATACAGTTAAAGGAGAATGTTGAAAGATTGATAATGATAACATATTGTTGAATGCGGAACTGTCCTTATTGAAACTTAACGATGCCACTCTTGACTCAGAATTTCCTCTACTAGATCAATATTCAAATTTTGAAAAACTAAAATCTGATTTGGAGGAACTGAAATCGGATAAGGCTAGACTTGAGGGGGAACTTGAAAGTGTTAGGAAAGGTTAACAAACCGTTGAGTAAACTATTCTTGACTGGATAACTAATGCTCAAACCAAAAGAACGGAAGGTCTAGGAAATAAGAAGAAGTTCCAAAAAGAGAAGAAGTATGTTGAACTACCTAGTAGTATAATATGCAATTTTTGTGGCAAAATAGGGCATAAACTAAACAAATGTCCAAAAAAGGATAAAAAGTACTCTTAAGAATGAGAATAGTTTTAAGCAGATATGGATTAAGAAATCTGAGTCTACATCTGTAACACAGAAACCCAAGGAGACCTGGGTTCCTGACACTAACGTTTGATTTTCATGCAGGTTCCAGTAAGAGGGAGCAACACGTGGTACCTCGACAGCGGTTGTTCTAAGTACATGACTGGAGATAAATCTAGATTTCTCTCACTGAACGCGTATTATGGTGGGACTGTGACTTTCGGTGATAACAAGAAAGGCGAAATTATTGTTATTGGCAAAGTAGGAAGGTCAAGTTCCCATGCTATAGATAATGTATTTTTGGTCGAGGGTCTGAAACATAATTTGTTAACTATTTCACAATTTTGTGACAAAGGTAACTCTGTTAGCTTTTACTTCTAATTCGTGTAGAAACATTAAAAATGACACTGGGGACATAATATTGGAAGGAACTCGTAAAGGGAACACTTATATAGTGGATCTCAATGAAGTTCCAAATAGTAGTTTGACCTGTTATAGTGTCATTGAAGATGATCCATTGTTATGGCACAAAAAAATTGGAAATGCAAGTTTTTCTTTACTAGATAAACTTAGATCCAAGGAACTTGTGGAAGGACTTCTATTCATCAAGTTTCTAAAGGACAAAGTTTGTCATGCTTGTGTTAGAAGAAAACAAACTCGTATTTCATTTAAATCTAAAAACATGGTAATAAGCACCAAGAGACCTTTGGAATTTATTCATATAATCCAAAGTAGAAGTGGAAAGAGGTATGTTATGGTTATTGTGGATGATTTTTCTAGATTTACATGAGTGCTCTTTCTTGTAAGTAAAGAAGAAACTTTTGATGAGTTTGTTGCATTTGTGAAGAAAGAACAGAGAAGAACAGGTCACCAACTTATTCATCTAAGATTTGACCATGGAACATAATTTGAAAACTCTAAGTTTGATGAATTTTGCAAAGAACAAGGGATGGACCACAACTTCTCGGCACCTAGGACTCCACAACAAAATGGAGTGGGTGAACACAAGAACATAAGCCTTGAAGGTATGGGCTAGAACAATGTTGATTGTCAGTGGTTTGCCTAGGAACTTATGGGCAGAAGCAATCAACATAGACTGAATAGAGTTACAGTTCGAGCCATCACCAACAAAACACCATATCTCATCAAAGGGAGAAAGCCTAATATTTCTTACTTTAAATCTTTTAGCTGCAAATGTTTTGTTCACAATATAGAAATTTGGAAAAGTTTGATGAACATAGTGATGAGGCAGTATTCTTAGGATATGCCTCAAATAGTAAATCTTATAGAGTTTATAATAAAAGAACAATGTATGTGGAAGAATCTGTACATGTGATTTTTGATGAAACTGACCAGTTAATTGATGTACATGATGGTGATGATGATTTTGAAATAGGATTAGTGCAAAAGTACGATTCAGAAGAAGAATCGACATCGATGTCGAAGCAGCATCATGAAATAGAAGATGAAACGAATCAAGAAGCAATTGAGAATAATGCTCAACAACATGAGCAAGTAACAAGTGAAGCACAAGGAACTCCATAGGAGGTTTAAGAGGAAGTTCAAGAAGAAGTACAAGAAGAAGTTCCAAAGAACAACGTAACTCAAGAGAGGCTATTTCCTATCAGAGACTGCCAACCTAAGCCTTGGAAACATCAAAGCTCACATCCAGTGAATGCTATAATCAGTGTTATAGCCAAAGGAACTCAGAAATGATCAAAACTCAGGAACTTCTGTGCATTTTTTGCATTTCTATCCTTTATGGAACCAAAGAATCAAGTGGAAGCACTAACCGATGCTGAATGGATTAATGCCATGCAAGCTGAATTGAATGAATTTAAAAGAAAAAAAGTTTGGCATCTGAAACCTAGGCCAAGTCATCAAAAGACTATTGGTCTCAAATGCGTGTAAAGATGAATATGGCATAATAGTTAGAAACAAAGCAAAACTGGTGGTTCAGGGTTCAACGAATAGGGAGGAATAGACTATGATGAAACATTTGCTCCAGTTGCAAGGTTAGATGCCATTCGTTTACTTATAGCCTTTGCTACTTTAATTTTATGGGAGTTAGGTTGTACCAGATGGACGTGAAGTGTGCATTCCTAAATGGATATCTTGAGGATGACATCTATGTAGAACAACCTCCTAGATATGAAAATCCAGAGTTCCCAAACCATGTCTACAAGCTTAACAAGGCCTTTTATGGACTAAAGCAAACTCCCAGAGCATGGTATGAAAGAATGTAATGAGTGGTGAGCTTGAAATAAGTATGATGGGTGAGTTAAATTTCTTCCTTGGTTTGCAAATCAAACAAAGGAAGGAATAATGATTCATCAACAGAAATACATAAGGAACTTATAAAGAAATATAAACAGGAAAGTTCTAAAACCAATCGCACTCCAATGGGCACAACTACTAGGACTGGAACTTGCGTAGACCAAACTATGTATCGAGGTATGATTGATTCTCTACTATACTTAACTACAAGGAGACTTGACATATCTTTTAGTGTAGTTTTGTGTGCTAGATTCCAAGCAAATCCAAAGGAGACACATCTGATTGTAGTAAAAAGAATCCTTCGATATTTGAAAGGAAATGATTGTTTGGGTCTCTTCTATCCTAGAAGTGATCACTAGTGGAAGGCTATCCGTAATGTGCAAAACAGCATATCCGTAACGGGCAGTGACCGTTACAAATAAGTAGTTATTTGTAACGATCATTTATGTTTTCACCTGCCCATTACAAATAACCACTTATTTGTAACGGGCATTCATGTTGCCCGTTACAAATAACCAAGTATTTGTAACAGGCGGTTGAAATGCCCGTTACAGATAATCTGTTATTCGTAACGGACATTCAAATGCCTGCTACAAATAGCCAGTTATTTGTAACGGATATTAAAAGTGCCCGTTACAAATAGTGTTTGAACCATTTACAAAAAAATTCCAATGTGCTGGACAGCTTGCTAGCATACCAACCAATGAATGATATTTTATTATTTTATACAAGTACACTTGTGGTATATACTTCAAAAACAATCAGCAAAAGCTTGCAAGGCTGCAATCATAATTCATTATTACCAAACTAAAAAAAAAAAAAGCAAAAGCAAACCTTAATGGTAATAATAATAAATTAATAATACAAGTTGACTTAAGAATAAAGATTTTTCTGCAATACTCTCCAGATTGACATTGTTCATTTCAACAGTATTTTCCGCAGCTTCTTCAGAATTGTTTCTCTAGTAGAGACTGCCTCTTTGCTTCACTAGGTTGTGCATACCATATGTGCAGCACCCCTCACAGTTGTAAATGTGAGTAAGTTTCCATATGTCCAACCTCCTACCTGTCAGTAGATCAAATATTACAACTAACCAGAAAAATTATGCAGACTTGATTAAGAGAAGTAAGATCAGGAAAACAGGAGAATAACTATGCTATCAAATACGCAAAGGGAGAGCATTCAATATGTTGTCATATCTCTCAAAATTGATACAGGAGATTAACTATGCTATCATATGTGAAAAGTAACATGCTCATCATATCTCTCAAAAGTGTAACACTAACAATATATATCTAATACATACGGCCAAATAGCCAACCACTGCTTTTGCAATTTCATAATATCATCCAAATTGAGTTCAAGACAGTGGCTCAAATAGATAGATAATAGAAAAGGAAAGTTAAATTTTAACCAGAATTAAAATATAGCAACTTAAATAGAGATTTGAATTAAGATGAAGTTAGATTGTTCATTAAACCATCAATGACAGAGGCTAGAAACCAAATCGTTTGCCTTATTAGCTAGGGCATGGTACTTTATAGATGCACCACATAGACAAATTCATTGTCCCGCAAAAACAGACCACATTTATAAGACATCACATATAATGAATGAATTCTTAGTAGTCAATGCTACTGCCAAGTACTGACAATAAATGAATTACTTGAATGAACATATATAAGACATCACATATAAATGTTCAAAACTGATATGAGTGGAGAAATGGACACAAGCAAATTGTGAATGCTACAACAATCAATAGGGCAGGCCTTCAGGGTACAAAGCATCTATTCATAGACAATGAAACTTAGGCCCTTACCTTTTCAATCATACTCCTTATTTCTTTATCAGCTTGATTATGAAGAAAAAATAATGCAAAGATAAGCCAATTTAGTTTATGCAAAATTCAAAGGATCGGTTTTGTCCTTTAACCCAGAGATTGTGCTTAACCAACAATCTACTTTGTTGGGTTTATAACATCTAATCAACTTCAATATTTTCATCATGTAAGTGTACCCCAATAAAAAAAATAACTCGTTTCCCCTTTTAATAACAAATCCATGAACCAAAATTGTTTTAAAAAAAAACCATCATTCTAACAAAATCAATCGCAAAACCCATAATACACCGATTTCCTTAGTGTTGCTACACAAGCACTGTCTGCAGCACATTAAAATACTACCTGTTTTCCTCAGAAGCTAGATGAATGGAGTGGCAAATGCCAGGAAAAGTTAGGCTATGGCTCCTACTTTCTTCTGATCCTGCAAGCACGTGAGGGGATGGAATACAGTTAGAATCGAAATATGGAAGAACAATAAGACTTTAAAGTTGCTGAACAACCTGTCAGATGGTCATCAATATATTGCCAACAACATAGTTATACAAAATAATAACATTGCCGATCATTCACATATTGCAACTGACTATAAGGAATATCAAGTTTCAAAGTTCAAACCTACTTCTTAATAAGTCATTATCAATAAGTTGTTTCTTATTGTCAAATAAAAAATGTAATAATCATTTTCCCCTCGCACACTTAAATTGGAAAGCATTCTCTATCTTTCCCAAATTAGCGCCAAGAAAAAAAAAAAACCCAGTTTAATGCAGCACCAGCGAAAGAAGATACAAATTCTGCACATTGTACCCTCGACTGTTTTGAATAGGTGATGCGAAGTTAAACCGTCTCAATATTAACGGTTTGTTTCTTTCCCTTGTTTCGATAAGGCTTGGATAGGGAAATGAAGAGTATTGGAGGATTTATCGTACTTCCCTAGAATTAATTCAAATACTATCATCAAAGAGCAAACCCCAATTTAAAATTCTAGATCAATTAACAAAATTAAAAAGTACACCTAGCAATTAAAATCAAAATTCAAATCCAGAAATAAATAAAGGACTAACATTGATAGGAGGGCCAGTAAACTCATCCTCGGTGACCTTCAACGATCCTCTATCTGACGAAAACGAATGAAACACCAAGAGTTGAGTTCATCCAAACCTAGAAAAAAGTGAGAAGTTAAGAGAGAGAAAAGGACATTGAATAGAGGAGTAGGCAGCATGAGAGAGAATCAGAACTCCGAGAAGACAGACTATTAAACCTAAACCCATAAAAATCAGGTTCTAAAAATCAAATTAAATTCTTTTTGCTCAAGATTATCAACGTCAAATGCACAAAAAAAATTCTAGCAGCAAAATTGATTGTTATAATCTTTAATAAAATGAGCAATATAACAAATAGTTCAATAATTCACCTCAAAATAACCCGAATTTGACTATAATGACAATTGAAAAATTGATATTCAATGGTTAATAAATGAAAAAAACAGAATTTACCTTTGATTTTGTTTCAATAAGGAGTTAAAGCTCAGAAGCTTCTAAAATGGAGCTTCGATGGAGGTGAGATACTCAAGATTTAGCATCATGGCACTTTGAATCAGATTTCAGAGATTAGCCATGGACGAATACCAAAGAAATCATACTCAAAACGTAGATCTTCGAACAATTAGTCCAAATAAGTTGACAGAAATTCACAATTCAGATCTAAATAACGAAGATCTGAGCAATTTAAAGTTGTAGATTGAGGAGAGAGAGAGAGAAAGAGGGAGATGAGATGGAGGAAAACGGCTGATGGGAGAAACGAAGTAAAACCGGCTAATGTCTTAAAAACCCTAATGTTAGTCCTAACACGTGATCGATTTGTAACGGACCTTACTTGCCCGTTACGATTAGAGCAGTAATTGTATCGGTCAAATTTCCGCCTTACAAATACTATTTATATGTAATGGTCAAATTTTCGGCCGTTACAAATATTAGTTATTTGTATCGGACCTATATATTGTCCGTTACGAATAATCTTTTTGTAACGGATTTAATTATGGCCGTTACAAATGAAGTTTTTTCCACTAGTGGATTTATTTGACTTAGTTGGTTATACTGATGCTGACTATGCAGGTGATTTGGTTGACTGAAAAAGCACATCAGGTATGGCACAGTTCTTAGGTCCATGCTTAGTGTCTTGGGGTTCTAAAAAGCAAAACACGTACTGCTGCCTTGTCCACACTTGAAGCTGAATATGTAGTTGCAGCAACTTATTGTTCTCAAATACTGTGGATAAAGCAACAGGTTAGAGACTTTGTTATTATTTTTGAATGTGTCCCTATTTGCTGTGATAATACAACTTATGTATTTCTAAAGATCCAGTTCAACACTCAAAGGTCAAGCACATCCACATTAGACATCACTTCTTAAAGAATAATGTGGAACAGGGCAATATCAAGTTAGAGCTTTGTCAAATTGAAAGTCAAATTGCTGCTATACTAACTAAGCCCTTGAACTGAGAAAGATTTGAGAAATTGAGACTGAAACTTGGGATGATCAAGATGTATTTATTGTTTCTGAAGTTCCAAGATATGGAAAATTGAAAATAATGCAAAACGAGAAAAAAGCACATCCAGCACAAATTTGGTGTGCTAAACATAGCTGAAATGTCACCGTTGGTGAATTCCTAGAGGTTAGTCCATTAATACATGAATGCGTGTATGATTAGTATTGTACAGTGTATATATGTATATAGCGTGTTCCAAATTCAATTGTTTTTTGGAAAAATTTATCTTTGGAAATAAAATGAATTTGGAAAGAAAAGATATTTTTCTTAAAAATCATCCTGATTAAATCTTTTAGAAAATAAAATTAAATTGCTCCCATAATGACAGAACAGTAAACCCAGTCATATCTCTTGCACCGGTTCATTAATTATAAAAAGCATCTTTCACCAACCTTACTCACTCCACTGTCAAATCAAGAAAACCACCCAAAGTAAAAACACCTCCACTTCCTCAGCAACCAAGAAAAATCAAATTGAAGCCAAGAAAAACCCAATTGAAGGAGAATCATCGTCTTCCTCTTATGTCTTTAAGAGATTGCTAGAGTGGAAAAAGAGAAAAGCATAGCAAAATCATCGAAGGAGCACATAAAGGAGGTAGAGGAATTCGCTGAGGGGGAACTAGAATCAGGAAAGGAAAATGATCCAATGGAGGAAGATGATGATCAGAAGGCTCTTGAGAAGAAAGCGGGAAGGTATGTGGTTGGCTATAGACTTGATTTAACTTGGTACCGGAAAGCTAGGTTTTTAGAATTTCTTGATTTATTGCGTTTTCAAGGCTGGGAACATATGTTAGCAAAATCTTCAAACAATTGCATGTTTCCACTTGCTATGGATGAATTCTGTGAAAATTTTAAAGTCAAAGAAGGTGTAATTTCGAGCAAAATTAATAAAGTGGTAGTTGAGTTTGATGTTGAGCCCTTAGGAACTATCTTGAAAGTTCCTACTAAAGGATATGAGGCCTACATTGAGGGTCATTCTGGTGTGAAAGTTCAGAATTAATTAGGTGGTGATATTATGGAATTTCTAGGAGGAAAGAGAGGATTAATATCATGAATCATAATAATTTGAGTCCTTTGAACAAATTGTTGTTTAATTTGGTGAAGAAGACTATTCTTCCTAGGACTTAGAAGAAAAATGAAGTGAGCCTTCTAGATATGACCATTCTCTATGGTGAAGAAAATCAAAATCAACTTTCCTTCTTTGATGTATCAGCATTTGGCACATTGTGTTCCTAAAAAGAACAATGTGGGCTACGGGGATTTTTTATCTACTGTTTTTGAGAGTTTAGGAGTAAAGTTGGAGGAGTATTATGGTGGTTTGTAGGAAAAGATAAGGAATGTGATTAATGAAAAAACTCTGCTTGGGCTGAGTCTGATTGTTGTGAATGGGAAGATTGAAAGGGTGGAAGAGAAGAAAAGTGAAGCTAGTGGGAGGAAGAAGGAAGGGGCTATGTCTAGTGAGCTAGTGAGGAAGAGCAGAAGATTATCAACTGGTTCCTTTCCCCAAACCAGACTTGATGAAAAAGAAAATGTGATGGCTAGGCAGATAGCTGAACTTTCTTACAAAGTTGATATAGCAGAGAAGTAGCTCAAAGAGATGACAAGTAAGGTTCAAAAGTTGGAAAAGAGCATTCAGGGTCTTAAGAAGAGTCTTAAGGGATAGCAGGTGAAGTTCTAGAAGACAATCAAGAGCCTTGAAGCAAAGCTGGATGCCACTATTGAAGCAAACAAGGAGGACTACGAGAAGATTCTTGCTATCCTCGAATCCTGAGCTAGTTAACCTCTTGTAGCCCTCCCCAGCCTAGCCTTAGCCATTTTCTTCTTTCTATTTATGACATGAATAATTAGAATTTACTTTTGGTTCTTGAAACAATGGTCTGTATTTATTAAAAACATGATGGTTACATTTGGTTTTATGATAATTTGGAACTTTGCTTATATATGTGTGCATTGTATGGTATGAAAATATATGCAGAATTGTGTGAAAGTTTTGGCTAAAGGGAGCTAGCCAGCACTGCTTTTAGTTTCCCATACTTGATGAATTGTTTGTGAGGTTGTGTTTAATTGTTTAATAACTCTACTTGCAGGACTTTTTATAATGCTAAAAGGGGGAAAAGAAGAAGCAAGTGAAGTTGTTCTAGTTCCAGTTGTGATGATCAATAATTGATCATATTTTATGCCAACACGCAAAACGTGATATCATTATCTAATCTTATATGAATTAGTGATAATATATCTAATCACATACATCACCCATGGTTCTTCTGGACCATAAGAAAATTATTCTAGCTAAAAGACATATTAATTCCTATCTTTCACAATTTTAATGTGAGAGTTCTCCAATGAATATTTCATAGCTCAAACTTCTAGTTGAGATGTTAATGATGTAGTCACATAGACATTTCAGGATTTTGATAATAATTTCAATATTCAAAATATAAAATTTGTAGGGCTTGGTAATTAAATACGTCGTGAATAAGTTCTTCAAGAATCTTCTTACTTATTTCATAACATTCTATGATAAAGTATCAAAGATTTCTTTGATATGTTGTATATAATAGTTTAGATTTTGCTTTAATTATGTCTAGTTTATTTTTGATATGTTTTAGTTTTTTGCCTTCGTGTGTTTTATTTCTTGTTAATAAAAAATGCAAAAATACGAGCCTTTTTTTAATTTTCCAGCTAGAATTTTGCTAAGTTTGTCATCATTAAAAAGGGGGGAAATTTTTGAACCTTAAGAGTTTTGATGATGATGGAAAAGCAAACTTCAACTAATGTGATTTCTCTAAGTGTTGAATTAGTACAGGTGAAGTTGACTCAGGGAGTGGATGAATAATCTAACTATGAAGATCCAAGGAGAAATAAAGGAAAGATAAAGAGAATAAAAGAAGAGTTCCTCATTGGAACTAGAAGTGATCCCTAACAGGAACATAGATAGAAGCTCCATATAAAAAGATTCATTTTATATTGGGTTGTAATAAACGACAGTTTTATGTTTATCTTTTGTAAACCCTACTTGGCTTATGGGCACTTCTTATTAATAGAGTGTTCATATTTCGAGAGGAGGTGTGAGTTTATGCGTGAATATCTGAAGAGTGCTTAAGTGTAAGTTTGCCAAGTGTAAGGATTTGTCATATTAGTTTCAGGTTTTATGTGTAGCTTTCTGTTCTGGGTGTATTTCCGGAGCCTAGCTGGTGGCTGGACCTGGGTGCTTGCTTGGATTACCTGCACAATGAATAGTGGTTATGCCCTCGGGGGTGGTTTCGAGGAACCCCTTTCTGATGCTTAAGTCAGTAAGGTATTGGATAATAATGGGTAAGTAATGAAAATGAATGTGTCTAACCCCTTTTTCGTTGTACTTGGGTTACTATTTATAGTTGTTCTATTCTTGGTGCTGCAGGCTGGAGCTTGCTGAGGCCAGCCCTGGTGCTGAGCCCCTGGGAGATTATCCCTGACTCTGAGATGGAGCCCTCTGGGGTTAGCCATGAGGCTGAGCCCCTGGGAGGTTTTCCCTTGCCTTGGACTAGACTGGCACGAGTGCGCACCCCTCAAGTAATACTAGGAGCGTGGGGCAGCTCATGGGGAGCTACCCTATACAACTAGCCCCTCAAGAGGTGGTCTGAGGCACTCAGGCCAACTCTTGCTAACTGGAGACGTTCTTCTGCCCTGAGGTTAGGAGTATGGGAAGAGCTCTGCCGAAGCTATCCCATACAACTAGTCCCCCAAGAGGTGGTACGAGGGACCCGTGCCAACTCTTCCAAGTATTTGACTCCTGCCAGGTCATTACTTGGCTGGATTTGCTGACCAAAATCCTCCTCACACAACTAGCCCCCCAAGTCTCACATCTGCACTCAGCTGATTTAAGGCTCAAAGAGTTCCGCTAGTGAGGTGCGTTATGCTGAACTGTCCGGGTGAGGAGCTTTGATTACTCCCCTTGAAGTTAAATCAAAGCGAAGCGCTGAGGCTCAGCGAGGAGCTTCGATTACTCCCGCTGAAGTTATTTCAAAGCGATGAGCTGAGGCTGAGCGAGGAGCTTTGATTACTCCCGCTAAAGTTATTTCAAAGCGACGAGCTGAGGCTGAGCGAGGAGCTTTAATTACTCCCGTTGAAGTTATTTCAAAGCGACGAGCTGAGGCTGAGCGAGGAGCTTTGACTTTGTCAGACTGGGGATTTTTTTTATTTTTTTTTTTTACGACGTGGCTATGTTTAGTGGGTGGTTATCTCCCTTTGTTGGGTAGGTAACTGCCATTTAATGCCATTATTCCGTTTCCCCTCTCCTATTTTGTA